ATGGAGGAAAAAATTCTTCTTGGAGAGTATGTATGAGACAGCCTGTGGTACACACCCAGGTAGTGAGGGGGCAGAGCGGGGAGCTGTAAGGCTCTGTTCACTCATCCTGAGCCCAGACCTCTGGGCAGGAAGCCTTGTTCTTTTCAAAGCAAACTGCTTGTTTTTCCCTGCATGAATAATGTATGTTCCTTAAAAAACACAAAGAGAAAATACAGAGAAGCAAAAAGAAGATATAAATCATCCACAACTCATCACCCAGATGCATATTTATGCTTCCAGATATTTTTTTCTGAATCTGTATATGGAAATGTAAAAAATGGCATCATTTATATTATTTGTAACCTGCTCTTTTCACGCCACAGTTCATCGTGGCCATCTTTCCATGTCACTAAATGTACTTCTGCAATATCTTTGTAAATGATATCACAACCAGATAACAATGACAATAATTTGTATAGTGCTTTATAGCTTACAAAGCACTGGGCATCCATTATCTTATTTCAGCTCTTGGCCTTCCAGCATGAAGGTCTCTCCCCTAGGAAATTCTGCTTCCAAAAGAGGCACCCCTGCCTCCGTCACACCTGTGCCTCCCATGCCCCAGAAGTCGCCGCCATCTAGGGAGGGATGCTGGCCAGGCCCCTTCTCCCTCTCCGCTTCTTGTCTGACCCTGCTGTCAACTTCTGTCCTTTTTGTCTCATTTTCTCGAGAATCTTTCTTCACAGTCTCAGAATTTCCTCCTGGCTGCCACCTTCGTCTTCTCTGATTCATCTATCCTCCCCTGTCTCCTCCTGCGTGTCTGCCCACCCCGCTTCTCCTGTCCAGTTCTGCTTAAGACACAGCGTGACACACCTGGGAAGCTGGGAGCCAGAGCGGGCCCCCAGGATAGGACCTGTCTCATCTCCGGAAACGACTGAGCAGAAAGTCCCCCTGTTGTTCACAAGTGGGGAGGGTTGGGGGACAGACCCACAGACATCAAAGGGGCAGGGCTGGGTAAAATGTCCCGGGGTGTCCTCAGAGCTTCTACAGCTGTGCATAGGGACGTTTCTGAGTTCCTGTCTCCCTACCGCTGCCTCTCTCTTCCACACCCCACTCTGTTTCTTTCTCTCCTCATGACCTACCTGGCATCTCCATTCTTTTTTGTCCTCCCTCTTACATCTAGAGGCCTTGGTGCTTGACAGCTACCTCCCTCTGTGTGGAAGGAGAGGTGGGGAGAGAGACAAGAGGGAATGCCCTCTGTCCCTGAACTAGCCTCACTTTTTGGCCCTGGAACTTCAGTCCTACCTTCATCCTGTGAGTGCTTCCCTTATGCCCCTCCCTCCTCCCTCCTCTTTCATGGTGGGAGTGATGAAGCCGGGGAGAGGCTAGACTCTGCCTGCAATTCTGGGCCTGCTAAGTCCGGGAGGCCAAACCATTCAGATGTGCTGCCTTCACAGACATCGAATGAGGAGCATATTTCACAGGGCTGACTGAAGAGCATATCTAAGCTGGGGCTGGACAAGCTATGCAATTAGCCAAGATCCTGGGCAGGGGTCTAGATCTCCTGGCTTTGGAGAAGGGCAAATACTTCAGAGTTAGGGAAATCCAGATATCCACACCCAGGGATCACCCCACCCCTCGCCACACCCATTCTGAATAGTTGCCCCATTGCCCATCAGGCCACTTTTCTTTTTTTTTTTGAGACGGAGTCTGGCTCTGTCGCCCAGGCTGGATGGAGTGCAGTGGCCGGATCTCAGCTCACTGCAAGCTCCGCCTCCCGGATTTACACCATTCTCCTGCCTCAGTCTCCCGAGTAGCTGGGACTACAGGCGCCCGCCACGTTGCCCGGCTAGTGTTTGTATTTTTAGTAGAGACGGGGTTTCACCGTGTTAGCCAGGATGGTCTCGATCTCCTGACCTCATGATCCACCCGTCTCGGCCTCCCAAAGTGCTGGGATTACAGGCTTGAGCCACCGCGCCCGGCCAGGCCACTTTTCAACAGCAAGGACATCAGAACTCTGAGCCATGTGGCCCCTTTAAAGAGCATGCTTCAGCCAGGCATCAGCTGCAGCTGAGGACTTGATCTCCAGCTCCTGTCTCACCAAGTGCCTTTACCGTCAGACTGTGCATCCGGGGCTCACCAAGCACCTTGGGCTCCAACTGTGTACCAGGGGCTCACCAGGTACCTTGTGCACTATGTGCCAGGGCTCGCCAAGCACCCTTCACTTCAGCTTTGCATCCAGGGTCCAGGGGCTCACCGAGTATCATCTGCACTAAACCCATCCCCAGCTCTGCCCACCTGGATTCCTTATTTGGCACACATTCAAGAGGATGCTACATTCCCCACCCTCTCCAGCAGTGGATGGTGCCACCCTAGTGATCACTTACTAGTGGGACCTTGGACAAGTAACCCAGAGGGGCTCAATTTCATGGTGGATGACCAGGAGATGACCCAGGTGGTTCAAGCTCTCTGCCTCCTGTGCAAAGAAAGGGGGTGGGCAGGGAGTGTCAGCACTTTGTCAGTTGACCTCACAGGGCTGGGAGGAGACCAAAACTTCAGTCCCACCGCTGGGAGCAGGTGGTGTTGGCCTGATGAGTTGTGTATGGGAGTCTCTGGCTGGAAGCAGGAAGACCTTCGCTGTGGGTTGGCGGTCACATACTAACATCCCCTTTGTCCTTAGCCCTCAACAGAACCTGGAGAAGATGTCAAACACCTAATGGACCAGGGGAGGAGCTTCCACAGTGTGTCGACACTGGGCCAAGGGCAAGGTCCAAAGTGTCTGCTCCAGGGCTGCCCCTCGGCTGGGCGTCTGAGACCTGGCACTCTGCCATCCAAGTTCCTGGGACTTGGAGCTTGGTATTACAGGGCGGGATAAAAGACGTTGGTAAAATCAGGTGTCAGAAGCTGAGCTCTCATGTCCTTGTACCCCATTCTTCTTTCTACTTGGTGACAGCCAGGAACAACCCTCTGCTCCATAGCCAGAGCCTAGAGGAAGAATAACTGTGAGCCCAGAGGAAGAGGAGCCTCATCTCGCTGCCACCGAGGACTGGCTCAGTGGCACAGCTCACCTGACTTCAGACCATTTCCACCTCCTCCCCCAGGCCTCTGGGCCTCTCTCCCCAGAGAACTCCAACCTGTTCTCCTGGCCCCTACAAAGATGCATCAGTTGTTCCTGAGCTTAGAGGGGGTAGGGTATGAGATCCAGAGTCCCCATGGGTGGAGGATCTGCCACAAGGCCACAGGGACAGTTTTGAGGGATGGATGGTAAACATGCCATTCTTTTATGCTCACCTGTCTTCTCCCAGCCAGCTACAGGGTTTTTTTGTTTGTTTGTTTGTTTTGTTTTGTTTTTTTTTCTGGAGTTCTGTCTGAATCTGGGGAAGAGGAGGGGGACCAAGATGGGTGTTTCTGGATTTTAGTCGCTGCATTTACTGTTCTGCCTCTGTGGTAGGTGTCCATCCTTCCTTCTCCAGGTCAACCTGTTGTCTGTCTGCAACTGTCTCTCAGATAGGAGACACGTCTTCCCTCCCCAAAGCTTCCCTGTGGCGTTGGAAAGTCCCTCCTGAAGTCCAACCTCCATCTATCTTGCTACCTAGTTAAATCCACTTCTTTTCTGGGACTTGGACAGCAATAGAGCTCGTTTCCTAGCATCCCTACATCCTTCCCCCAGAAGTATTTCTGGACCAGCCACCACCTGCCCATCTTTGCAGATGCAGCCCCGACGGCATATTAATGAAGCCCTCTTTTCTTCGACTTCCAATCCCTTCCTTAAGCATTTCCACATCCAGACGACCAGCACTGTGAGGGTTAGGGGGCATAGGTGGTGGGGAAAGGGGTTGATCCCACTGCTGCCCTGTGGGCGTTTGCAAATGCAGGCGTGTCTGTGTGCTCTGTGTGAGTGTGCAGGTCTCAGAGCCAGGGCTTGCGTGGAGTCTCTCCACCCTTCCACCCTCCTGGAGGCCTCTCAGAGACCCAGCAACAGAAGGCAGGGAAGCCCAAACTCCCCAACTTTCTCCCTTAGCTGCGGTTCTGCTGGTAACCATTAGGGGTCACTGTTGCTTCAGTCACCAATGCGGGGCAGGGGAGGGGTGGGGCTCCACACAGGTGGTCCTTGCTGCCCACCCTGACCCTGTGGGGATAACAGGGTAGTTGTTGTCATAGAGACGGCCTCACGCAGACTTGTGCCCACTCCACTCTGGTGTGAGGGAGCTGTGGTTTGCAGGACAGCTGCTGGTGGGCGTGAGCAAGGGTGCACAGAAGGGCTCATCTTGCCAGACCCAGAGCGCATGGCATGTGTGTGGCATGACAGCTATACCCCAAGCCCTTGGGTGCAGGAAGCTAAAGAGTTCTGAGCCGTGGGCAGCCCCTCCTGCTGCCACCCCCTTCGTGAAGGTTTGAAGCCATTCTTTTGCAACCTTCCCTCTCAAATGCCCTCATGGCACTGGCAGAAAAATCTGGGAACTGACTCTCCTGTGCAACATCCACATGCCTCAATGGTGTCTCAGATGAACACTGAGATTCTGGCCTCCCAGGATAACCACAGGGTGCCAGATGCACAGACCTTGCTCTGCTGTGTGTCCCCTGGCTTGGGTGGGGGCATCTGGCATGAACAGGTGATGTCATCAGGGCCTCTCCCCTGCCCCATGTCTGACCACTTAAAGTGTGTCCTATGGCACTCCAGAAAATACCTATCCAGTGGACCGATATAACAGACATAACAAGGGATGAAATTAAGATGAGATGTTGGGGACAGGTTGGTTCTGCTTGGAGGCCAGACACAAAGGTTCCCTGCCGGGCTCAACCACTCCTGGTCCTGAGCAGGAGATAATTGCAAATTGTTCTGCCTCACTGCCATGGCAACCCTGGCTGCTCGAGTCCTCATGGAGGTGGTGTTTGACAGCAGTGTATTTATCCTGTGTCTCTGCCTTAGGGTCACCACCTCGAGTCCCAGAGGAGGGAGAAAGGAAGTTCATCTAGTGTTAACACCATGTAGATGGAGAGATAATGGCTGCCTGGGACCAGGGTACAAACAGGCCTCGGCATTTATTGTGCCTTCTCCAGTCTTCCCATGAGAGGCAGGAGTGGGGGCGGGGCTGGGCGAGGGTGAGGAGAGGGAGGAAGACCAGGCTCTGAAAGCCTTAAGCATCCAGGGCTAATCATTGAGGGGAGGGACTGGAGAAAGGGTGACTATACTCCAAGGGATGCCCCTGGAAGAAAGGAGGAAGGAGCACCAAGCTTGGGGAGCCCTGGGCAGGGCAAGAGGAGAGGAGGAGGTGAGGGCAGGCAGGCTGGGAACCACTCCCCAGGCCCTTGGGTTCTCCCCACGCCACCTGGTCAGTGGAGCTAAGGGGAGGAGTTGAAAAGCAGTGGCAAGCAAGGGAGTCATGTGGACCCCCGACCCCGCCTCCCACACATGCATGGAGAGCGCCCCAGGCCTGCTTCTGATTGCTCATCTAATTTCAAACACGTCAATGGCCCTACCTGTCCACAGGAGACCCCAAACTGAGGGGCAGGACCTCTAGGGTGGGCGGGTCCCCTCTTCCTAGTCTGAGTGGGGTTCCTTTCTCTGAGGGCAGGATGTCTGTCCCTGGCCTGATCTCCACTCCTCTGGCTTTGACCTTGCTTGCTTTCCCGCGAGGGACTCAGAGTCTGAGAAGCTCCTATGGTTAGACCCCTCTGCCCACTCCCACAGCCTTCCCTGCTCCTGTTCTCTGCCCCACCCTTGGCCACCCCTTGCTATGGGTGGGGGTGGGGGTGAACATTCAGACATCTCAGCCACAGAGGTCGGGTCCCTTCCTCTCTCCCCATGGCAGGCCAGCCAGCCAGGGAATGGGGTGCCCCCATTTTGAGGGCTGCAGTCTGATGAAGCCCCTCTTGGGGTAGGTGAGGAGTCAGGCTCTGCATCGGTGGGAGGCAGGGAGCCCCGGGCCCCCTGGCACTCCGAGCTGTAGTAGAAGGAGAGGAGGCGGAAGGAGGGCCGAAGCTCCTCCTGTATGCTGTCCAGAATGTGTGTGAAAGATGGGCGCAGGCGTGGGTTCGGCTGCCAGCAGCGGCTCATCAGTTCCTGCCTGGTGGGTGTGGGGAGCAGGGTCAGAGGCATCCGGGAGCCCCTGCCGCACTCTCAGCCTCCTGCACTGAAGGGTCAGTTGGTAGGAGTGGGGATCGTGGGCCATTATGCCTGGGAGAGTGAGAAGGGATTAAATGGGAGTCGTGGGGGTTTGGAACGGGGGGTGCTCATAACTGAGGGTCAGTGGATGTCAAAGCATCAGAGGAGGTGAGCCAGAATCGTGGGGCCGGGTGGGGGAGGGTTGTAGGTAGATCAGCAGTGAGGAAGGGGCAGGGGAGGTGACTCACAGCTGAAGGGGACAGCCCTCCAGCTCCTCCAGGACCCCGCCATCCATGACGAACTTGAGCACCTGCTCATTGGACAGGCCCTGGTAGGGTTGTTCAGCCAGGGTCACAATCTCCCAGAGTACCACACCGAAGGACCTGGAGGGCATGCAGGAGCTCCTGAGCCCAGCACCCTTTGTGCTGCTTGGTGCACTCCAAGGGACGGGGGTGTTCCAGGCCCCTCCCCAGATCCCACCTCCACATCCCTGGAGCCCTGTGCTCCAGCTCGGCCCCACCAGACATCCGAGTGGGTGGTGAAGATCCCATCTTTGAGGGACTCAGGGGCCATCCAGCGCACGGGCAGCAGCCCCTTCCCACCCTTGCGGTAATAGTCTGTCTCATACACGTCCCGAGTCATCCCGAAGTCTGGAAAGTGAGGGAGAGGGTGGAGGAGGCGTGGGGCATAAGAGCCACACACTTGCTCCCGCCCCTGGAATACCTCTCCCAATCTTCTCATCCTCCAGAGTCACCAAGAACCCTGGAAAGTAGGGGCTCAATGGACCTCAGAGCTCATCCCATCCAAACCCCTCTGCCCTCAGACAAGAGACTAAGATCCAGAGTGAGGGTGACTTGCCAAGGGTCTCACAGGCTGTCAGGACCAGGGCTGTGGGTTTCCTGATGCCTAGCTTAAGGGAGTCTCTCTACTTTTCAGGCCACCCTCATCTGTCTGGCACCCTCTGTACCCCCAATCTTGACGGTGAAATCCTGGGACACCATGCAGTTGCGGGCTGCTAGATCTCGGTGCACAAACTTGTTGGCAGCAAGGTAGGCCATGCCGTCTGCAATCTCACCAGCCATCTGGATCATTTCCCCCAATGCTGGCTGTGGGAGCCCAGGGTTGTTCTAGAGTCAAGATTGGGGGTTGGTGAGGAAGGAACCCAGAGGCTGGTCTCCTGTCCAGAACTGGCCCCCACCTCCCACACTGTGCCCAACCCTTCTCTCACCCCCAGCCCCTGGGCTCGCTCAGGGTCTTCCTGTTCCCTACCTCTGCCTCAGGCCGCAAAGATCGAAGATGGCTCTTGAGGTCCCCATGGGTCATTAACTCCATGATGACCAGAGTTGGCTGGCCCTGAGACACCACACCCAGGAGACGCACCTGGGACAGACAAAGGGCCTAGCAAACCCTCTAGCTCCCATTGACCCATTTGGCCAAAAGCCTGATCTGCTATGACCACAGTCTGACTCAGACACCAAATCTGACCCTAACCCCAACCATGACTATAACCTGACTCCCGACCTAACAATGACCCTGACCCTAACCCATGACCTTCATCATATCTGATGGTCATCACAATCATGAACTTAGCCCAACTTTGGCCTTGAGCCCAATCAGGACTCTAATAATGATCTGGACACCCAATATTGAGCCCCAATCATGACTGATCTCAGCCCTAGCCATGACTCTACCATGGCCCTACTATGACCGTTTGACTCTAACCCTAACCATGACCTTCACCCCAATTAGGATCCTAACCATGGTCCCAATCTTGACCTTAATTGTGCCCTAACCTCATCTCTGACCCTTTCTTTCTTACCACATGACCTTTACACTAATTATGACCCTGACAATGCCTCTGGCTCTCCCTTACCACATGGTGACACTTGAAGGCTTTCATGACAGAAGCTTCCTTGAGGAACTCAATGCGTTCCCGTGGACTGGCCAGCTCATTCACCGTCTTCAGGGCCACGGGTGTGGACTCCTCTCCAGCCTCAAGTCCTCGTGCCAGGCCCTCATATACCATCCCAAAAGAGCCCTGGCCCAGTTCCCGGATTATCGAGATCTGCTCCCGAGGCACCTCCCACTCATCAGGGACGTACACTGCAAAGAGTTGGAGGGTCGCAAAGCAAAGATGTGCTCTCTGCCACACCTCACCCGCCAACTTCTCTTCTCTTCTGAAGGGTTCCGGTCCCAAGGCTATCTTCTGCAAGAAGGTCTCCTGGAAGTCTGTCTCTGCTCCTCTCCTGTCTCCCTTTCCCATACCACCTGTCCACCCACTCCCAGACCTACTATCAGAGGCGCTGAAGTACTCTGGATTCACAGAAGCATACAGGGTTCTGTTTCTGCAACGGGAGGTGAGGGCGTCAGGTTGGAAGGGTTCTCAGGAAGGAATGAGCAACATCAGAAGAAGGAAGAAGGACATTTCAAGGAGAAGGGAAGTTACTGACCACACCCCTAGCCTTGGTCAGGGTGACTGCTGGGGATCCCTAAGTACCCTCCAAGCTGGCCTTGGCCCTATTCCTGGTTCCGACAGGGAATAGGGAGGATACAGGAGTAAAGGGGCTTCCACCCTATCAGCTAGTCCCTATAGCCAAGCTGATCAACGTCCAGCCCCATTTTCCTCTTGCAGTCAGCCTTGGAAGGATCTGACATCAGGCATTCTGGAACACATCCCCAGGCCTCCTGCTTCTCCTCCTAATAAGGGACCAGCTTTATTATTTCTCAGCTTGCGCTGAGATTGTGGTGACCAACAATCCCAGTGTGGCTGGAATGAGGGGTTTCCTAGGATGCGGAACTTTTACTGATAAAACCAGGAAAATCCCAGGCTAACCCGGATAAGTTGGTCACCCTAGCTGAGAGGTATGTTTCCTCCATGTCACCACAGGGGAAGAGTTACTGTCTGTATGGAAGATCTGTCTTTCTACTGTCTCATCTACCTCCCTTTGACAGACTTTATGATGAGGGCTCAGGGAGAAAAGGGGGTGGGGACTGGTGGGACTTATCATCACCTCTTCTTGCCGTAGAAGAAACCAAGGGCAGCAAGAACGATGAGCAGCGTGAGCCCCACAGGGGTGGCAGTGAGGAGGACATGCAGCCCCCCAGCATCCTCCTCCTCTGGCAGTCAGAGGGCAGCAGAGGGTAGAGTCAAAGATGTAGAAGTCAGAGAGAAGGCCATGCTTCTCTTTCCATGCTGGGAGGTGAGGATGGGGAAGGATGCAGGGGAGGGGCTTGTGGTGGGCTGGGGACCAGGTGGGGCTTTTCGGTGATACAGGTCTGTGACAGAGGCTGCGTATACCTGGGCCAAGGATGTAGAAGGCAACACTGTCTGTCCAAGAGCCATTGCCAGCCAGTGAGGTTGCCCTAACCCTGGCAGAGTAGTTTCCAGGGGGCAGCAGGGCCAGGTGGACTCCCCCAAACTTCGCATATCGAAGACGGGACACACAAAGCACTGTGGCCTCCTGAGGGTAACCCAGAACAGCTGGCTGGGAAGGCGATGTAGGCACAAAACGGGACTGGGATGGGGATCCCACGGGCACCTACCTCTCCCAAGCGGCGGTACTTGATTTCGTACTTGAGGATGAGTCCGTTGGGGTCTGGTGGCTCGAGCCAGCGCAGGAGGACACTGTTCTTGCTGGAGGCCTCCCAGGCCACCTTTCCTGGAATACCATCAGCCTCTCCTGCGGGAAAGGGCATCCAGCAGCCAGGCCAAAAGTGGTTCATCTCACTTTATGTTCAAACCCAAGCTAAACTGGGCTGAGCTGGGAGGTGGGGAAAGCTTTGGGATTATGGGAACTGAGAGGAGCAAGCAAAGCGAGGCTCTGGGGTTAGCAAGAAGTCAAACCCCAAACCCTTGCACAGGGTCCTCGGGGTCGGTGATGGGGATAGAAGGTGCGTGTGTGGGTCACCTACTGTGGGGCATGGTGCGCGCAAAGACGAAGGTGGCGGCGCTGCAGCCCACGGTGTGCGCCGCGTGGTTGCAGGCATGGATGTCGATTCGGTATTCCGTGAAGTGGCGCAGGCCGCTCAGCACCGCTCGCTCACGGGGTACCTTGTCCTCCTGGATCTCGAAATCCGAGCTGTTGCCCCCCAGCCGGAGGGGCCCAGTTGCCCGGCGGTGCCGCCCAGAGTCCCTGGGGAGAGCGAGTCAGAGCCAAGGCCCAGCCCCAAAAGCCACGCCCCTCAGCACCGGCCCTAGTCCTGCTCACCTTTGGGGGCTCTTGTTGATGGACGTCACCTTCCAAGGGGATCTGGGGAGGCCAGGGGTAGCCCTATCAGGCCTGTCCGTGTGCACCCCTACGCCCTCTGCAGCGAGCACTGCCTCCAAAAGCACCCACAACCCGGGCCCCGCCCACACAAGCAAGGCCCCGCCCACAAACCCCACCCCTCCAGCAAGACCCACCCCTCACAGGCCCCACCCATCAGACCGGCCCAGGCCGCGAGCGCTCTTCGCACTTGGGGATGGTGATCGCGTTGTGTAGAAAGTTTTCAAACTTCTTTTGGAACGAGGCCTCTTGCGCCTCCAGCGGGGGCAGAACCTGACCAGGAGGTGGGTGCTGGCAAGGGCAGCAGCCGGACTCCATCTCTGCCTCAGGATCTCCGTCTTCGCGGTCGAAGCGCGGGTCATTGTTGCTGGTGGGCAGCCGCAAGCCTGGCGCCGCAGCGGGAAGACACTAGTAAGACAGGCCGTCTACCCGCCCCTGATTCCCCCATCTGCCCCGGCCCTGCGCCTCCATCTCCCCTTCCCCACCCGCCCCGCGGCCGGCCTGCGCGTCGTCCCTGCCCACCGCGGTGGCAGTAGTCATTGAGGTAGAGGTCGCCGTCCTCTGCCAGCCGCTGCCACAGCACCAGGTAGTAGGTGAGGTTCCCGTTGCGCTGGGTCGGTGGCTTCCAGCGCACCAGGAGGTGGGAGGAGGAGTTGGACGTGGAGATGACGTCCTGGGGCACCGTGGGAGCTAGGAGTGCGAGAAGGATGCAACTCAGGGGTTGTGGGGCTTCCTCTTGAATACTGTCTAGTAATGAGCCCCTCTCTCTGGGGTCCAACAGCCCTGTTCTCCCGAAGAATAGGTGATCCTCATCTCTGCTTTCCTAGAACTCACTGTTTTGTTTCTGTCCTCCCCTTCTCTGCCATAGGCCCTTGAGTTCCCTCAGCTACTGACTCTGGACTGTCCCAATCCCAGCCCCACAAGGACCTAGGCAGATGCCCCCTCTTCTTTCTAGGACTCAAGCATCTGGCCTCCCAGCCTCTGTGGGCCAGGTGTTCAGTGCTGCGGCTTCTCTATTTCTGATGTCTGTGCTCCCCTGTTCTCATGGATGCAGGCGTCTAACTGACTCTTGCGCCCTCCAAATGCTTACCTGCAGGCAGCGTTCGGAGGTAGACGATGGGACTCTGGGCTCCTTGATGGGGGCTGTCCTCATCAGTGGTTAGCGTGATGGCCCGCACAAACACTGCGTACTGTGTCCAAGGCTTGAGGGAGGCTAGGGTCACCCCTGGCTCCTGGGTGCGGCTTAGGGGCAGCTCCACATCCAGCAGGTTCCAGCTCTGGGTTCCACAAGCATCTGGACCCACGTGCTCTGTGGCATTCTGGAATGGGCTGAACACCCATCCCCAGAGCTGAGGGGTCATTCAACCCCACCCCCAAGTTCTGGCACCTCCCCACCGCCTCCCCGGCACTGAATCACTCCAGAACTATCATTGTCCTTCTTCCAGTACGCGTGAGGGCAAAGCCATGACTCCAGCCACCTGTTAGACCCTGGCAAAGGTGGGGAGGGGACGGCCTTTGATATCTGTGTCAGTGAAATTTATAATGATGTATCTCCTCATCCTTAGCAGGGAATATCGAGCTCTAGTTTCAATGAATATTGAACAAATCTTGCATTGTATAAATAAAACAAGAAAGTGTGTGTGAAAGAGTCCCCTCTCCTAGAAACAGCAAGCAATAAGGTTATCCTAATTCCCCTAAGTGTAATTGCCTGGAACCAGGACCTGGAGACTGCTCCCTTCCCAGTATCTTCACTTAGGCCCTTGAATTGACTTTGGAGGTTTATGAGCCTCCCAAACTATAGGGAAAGTTTTGTGCATGTGTGATTTTCTAGAAGGTTCCTAGCTTCAACAGCTCCCAAACATGTCCATGACCCTAAAAGGCCAAGATCCATTGCCACAGGGAAATTAAGGGGCCAGAGGCAACTAGTGCTGGCTGCCTGAAGGCCAGTTTCGGGGCAGGGCTTGGGGAAGCATCACTGGCTTTAGGGGTAGAAGAGGGCTCTCTGGGGGAGATGAAAGTGGGCCCCACATGGGAGATAGCAGAATAGACCACGGGAGACAATGGAACATCACACTGATGTTCATGATATTTGTTTCTTTGGTTTGGGAAGGGGGTGATGGAATTCATGTCGAGCCAGGGACAAAACTTGAGGGAGGTCATATTGGGTGGTGATGGGGGAACTTGTGGCCCAGCTGGAAGTGCCTGCCTTTGTTGGGACCTATAGGCAGGATAGTCCAGGAGCATCTTGGGGAGGGGTGCGCAGGGGCTCATAGTGGGTGTCATGGGAGCAGGTGTCCTGTGAGGCATGACACACTGAGCAGGTCTGGGTCTGTTTGGAGTCAGGGTTGGGCAGGATCTGCAGTGTGTGTCTCTGAGGGAGCATAGCTGCAGCCACACTGCAAGGCAGTGATGTTAGGGAAGCTTCTTGAAGGACTCCCAAGGTTCTCTGCTCTTTGAGCCCAGAGACAGCTGTGTATAGTTGTGCTGATTGTGAAGTGCCCAAGCCGGGGAGCCAGGGGAGATTCACATTGTAGTCAGGCCAGTGCTCCATAGAGTGCAGTCCACAAACCAGCAGCCTCAACATCTCCTAGGAGCTTATTAGACATGTAGATTCTTGGGCCCTACTCAGGATTAACTGAATCAGAATTAGTGAGGGTGAGGCCCAGGAATTTGTATTTAACAAACTCTCCAGCTGCCCATGCTAGAGACCTTCACCTACCACTGAGACCTAGGAGAGTCTTGGCCATTTGAGTGGGTCTCCTACAACTGACTTCCTTCCTCTGTCCTCCCAAGCCAGACCCTGAGCTGGTGGTCAGCTAAGTTCTCTCCATTCTAATTCACAGGAAATGCTTCTAAGCCAGGTGGCCTCCATCTTCTATACTATCTATCAGAGAGAGAGTATGAACTCCTTACTCCCGCTCTCTCAGTCTGCATTCGAAATCCATCTCCCTCCTCTAAGGATGTCTCCTTTTGATTCCTAGCCGTGTTTTTGGAGAAGTCCTTCCTGTGGTCTAAACACTATCCTTACTGTTAGGGTCAGTTGACTCTCGCCAAAGAAAAGAGCAGTGTGGTCCCTGGCGGCCCCTGCTCCCTCCCTTCCTAAGGCTTAAATGAAATGCTGGCAGAGCTGCTCATAAAACTGGCCAAATTAGTGGGCGCTCCCCAAACCGCTGCTGGGGCAGGAGCGTGTGGTCAGTGTAGAACATTAGCATAATGAACTGAAGTTTAATGATCCAAGCCTTCCCAGCACGATGGCTCTCCTGGGCTCTCAGAAGCCCTGCCTTCTCCATTTCACTTGGTGAGGGGAAACCGAGGCACGGAGGCATGAAGAAGGTGAGGGAAGAGAGCCAGACCTGGACCCCACCACGGAGTACAACTTGGGGGTCCTGGCTTCCTGGGTCTTCATAGCCTCGCTGAGCTCCGCCCTCACCTGCCTGTGGTCCCTAAGAAATTGGCCTCGTCCGGCCCCGCCCTCGCTCCGGCCCCGCCCCCGGCACTCACGACTCCTTGTAGTACACGATGAAGCTGAGCAGGTCGCGGGCCTCCAGTGGCTCGTAGCGCTCCCAGCGTAGCAGGATGCGGTCTGCCTCCGTCACGTTGGACACGAAGCGCAGGGTGCGAGTCTGGCCTGAGTGGGAAGAGGGGCCTGCTCTCAACCACGCCTGCCAGCTGCTTGAGCGCCCACCCTGACTCCGCGGCATCCCATTCCCAGTGAGACCACGAAGAGAACTTCTCAGGCTGTCCCCCCTCGAGCACCCCTCCCCCGGGTGCGCGTGTCTAGTGTGTGACCGCTTGTCCACAGGCACTGGGGTTGGGGTCTCACAGGCGGCGCGGTCTCCGTTGGTGCGGGGGTTGATCTCAGCCTTGTTCTGCCGACCTCGTGTGCCCGTCACCTCCTCCAGTCGGTAGATGTGCTCCAAGCAGAGGCGCGGGTTGAAGGCGAAGTAGATCTTGCCCACGGGAATGGTGAGCCCCGCGGCCACCCAGGACCCTAGCTGCTGTAGGTTCTGGTTGTCCAGCACGTAGAGAGTGTAGTTCCTGGGGGAGGCCAGGGGACCTTGCTTTGCGGGGAGGTGGGGGCAGGGGGTAGGAAAGGGGATGGCTTATGGGTTCCTCCTGGAGGGGTTTTGCTGAGCCCACAGAGGGGGGCACTCAGTGGCCGGCTCACACCAGCACACCAGGGACATTCGCGCATACCCACTCTGTGCCACTGACCAGGAGTATGATGTCTGCCAAGTGACCCCATCTTTTGGTTTTCCTCATCAGTGAAATGGGATCCACAGCTTCCCTGCCCCCATCCTTCCCTTGACTCTCTTTAAACTGAGCACCCGCTGTGTGCCAGACTCTGGAGGCTTCGGAGACAGGAGGAGGAGTGGTGCTCAGCCTGGGCCATTCCTCTCCAGCTGAGGTGTGGACAACCCTGGGGTACATGCAATGTGTCTGGAGACATGAGAAGCCACAGGGAGCCACTAGACTAGATGGTAACTTTGTTTTTTTTCCTCACTCTGTCACCCAGGCCAGAGTGCAGTGGCCCAATTGTGGCCCACTGACGCCTTGACCTCCCGGGCTCAGGTGATCCTCCCACCTCTGCCTCCTCAGTAGCTGAGACTACAGGCATGCACCACCACGGTCGGCTAATTTTGTATTTTTTATAGAGACCGGGTTTCACCATGTTGCCCAGGCTGGTCTCTAACTCCTGGGTTCAAGTGATCCTCCCACCTCGGCCTGCCAAAGTGCTAGGATTACAGGCGTGAGCCACCGCATCTGGTCTGGATGGTTATTTATTTATGTATGTTTTGAGCCAGTCTCCCTCTGTCACCCAGGCTGGAGTGTGGTGGTGTGATCTCAGCTCACTGTAACCCCTGTCTCCCAGGTTCAAGCGATTCTCCTGCCTCAGCCTCCTGAGTAGCTGGGACTACAGGTACCCACCACCACACCTGGCTAATTTTTGTATTTTTAGTAGAGATGGGGTTTCTCCATGTTGGCCAGGCTGGTCTTGAACTCCTGACGGCGAGTGATCCACCTGCCTCACCCTCCCAAAGTGCTGGGATTATAGGCAGGAGCCACTGCACCCGGCCTGGATGGTAATTTAAAACATTCTCTCTCTTTTTTTTTTTTTTTTTTAAGATGGAGTCTCTTTCTGTAACTTAGGCCCTAGGCTGGAGTGCAGTGGCACGATTTCGGCTCACTGTAATCTCCACCTTCTGGGTTCAAGCAATTCTCCTGCCTCAGTCTCCCAAGTAGCTGGGATTAAAGTCACGTGCCACCACGCCCATCTACTTCTTTTGTATTTTTAGTAGAGATGGGGTTTCACCATGTTGGCCAGGCTGGTCTTGAATTCCTGACTTTGAGTGATCCACCTGCCTTGGCCTCCCAAGGTGCAGGGATTACAGGCATGAGCCACCACACCCAGCTCATTCTTTTTATTTTAAAAAATCCTGGCTACATTATAGGTAGGTCTTGACTGGCAGGTGATAGGAATGGGTCTCAAACCCAGGCAGTCTTGCTCTGCAGTTGACAGGACCAGATGATGACAATTATAGCCAACCGTTATAGAGTTATATGTGACTGTAATTTATATTGTATATACTGTGTTCCAGGCATTGTTTTATGTGCTTTACACATAACAACTTGAGTAATATTCGAAACAGCCCTAAGAAGTAAGTAATGTTATATTAACCCTATTTTACAGATTAGAAAACTGAAGACCAGAGAAGTTAGCCTACTCAGAGTCACACGGCTAGTGAGTAGCAAAATTGGTTCCAGAGCCCATTCTCTTCACCACTGTTCTGGGAGTGTTGGAGGAAGGAGTGTAGTAGAAGGAGCTGGTCAGAGGCCTAACCCTTACCCGTCCACCATGGCGTCTCCCCGGATTAGTTTGAGGTTCTTGAAAAAGCCCAGGGACACGAGGGCAAAGGAGTGCTTGATTTTGAGGAAGCCAGTAATGGTTTCTACCAGCCCCAGGCTGTGCTGCAGCTGCGGCTCCAGGTTGTCTACGGATGGGAAGACAGGGCTGGAGCAGGGAAGGTGATGGGTCCATGGGGCAAGGGGGCTGAATGGGGGCCCCGGGAGGGTGGACCCTCAGGACTGGGACCCAGGATGATGGAAAATCGTGCTGAGTTGGGTCATTGTAAGGGGTGTGTCTGGGAGGAAGGGTATGTCCAGGAGGAGGAGTGTGGCCCCAAAGTAGGTACTGACAGCCCTGGCGAAGGTTGAGGATGAGGCTTCCCTCCACATGCGTGCAGCCCACCAGATCCTGTGCCGCCTGGATGGAGTCGATGGTCTTGGTGCCTACCTTGCACTCTTTAGGGCACAGCCCCTCGCACTTGTGGCAGAATATGCTAGCAGGAGCAAGCAGATATCCTGAGCCTTGGACCAGTTTGGGCCTCCTCAGGCCTCCTCACTGCTCCCAGGGTGCCCCCCACCCTCCCTACACTCACCTGCTGCTATTACGGGTGAAGCCAGAAGGGCACTGGGCCAGGCAACTGCCCTGGTGTATGCCGAAGGTAGAGGCACGGCCGGGCACAGAGCGCAGGCTGGCACAGCGCTCAGCTGTGACACAGCGCCAGGACTCATACTGGTAGGTGCCTGGCGGGCAGGCCCACAGGCAGGCACCCTGGAAGTAGAGGTGGCGGCAAGCTACACAGGCACGAGGGTCTTCCGGCTGGCTGCAGCCCCCCAGGCATTCAGTGTGGCAGCACTCGCCCCTCGCTGTGCAAGCCAGCCCATGGGGGCAGGGGCACACTGTGGGGAGAGTGGTGTGTTAGACCTTGGCCATGCCCCCTCAGTCCTGGCTGTCCTTCCAATGCTGGCCCCACCCTGTTTCTCTTGGGATGACACTCAATCTGCACCCAGGTCCCTCCCATTCAGATGACACTGGTAGCTGACTCTGTTCCCCTCCGATGGGATTCTTGAGGACAAGGACTGTGGCCCTGTCTGTGGCTCCCCAGCTCCCACAGTGCCTAGTCGGGGTGTCAGAGCTCAGGACAGAGCAGCGACCTTGTCCATCAGGGTTGTTGCTCTCCAGCCTGCTGTCCTGTCTATCCTGTCTAGGCCTGGTGCCCAGATCATGGCTGGGCATGGTGCCAGGGTGAGCGGGCCAGCCTCTCCTGAGCAGCTAGGCCCACGGGCCTGGGTGTATGTGCAAGGAGGGGCCAACATCCGTCGTTTTACCCACGCTCCTGCCCATGCCGCCCCCACCTCAGCTCCCCGCCCTGGGCAGGAGGAGGCTCCAAGCAGCAGTGGGAGGGTTTGGGGTTGGAGGCCCAATTGCCTAAAAACTGCACAGTGGCAGCTGGCTGGCTATGGGAACGATCTGTGGGGTAGGGGTCAGCCAGGTCGTGTTGACACTGTACACGAGAGGATGCGCAGCAGCTGTGTTTACAGCCAACAGGGAGGCATCAGGGAGGTGGAGCACAGCCGATGCAGCAGGGATCTGGTTACTCTCCCACCCGCCCTGCTGCTGAGGCACTGGGGGCGAGAGGAGCTGACCTCCAGGAGCTGAGTGGAAAAAATCCCCAGGTTGGGGGACCCCAGATCTGCTCCCCACCTCTGAAAGGTTTTCCTCTCCTTTCCTATAACGTTTGCTTCCTCCTGCACCAGCCATCCCTCTTTTTTCTCCTTCCTCCTTTCTCTATTGCCTTTTTCCTCTCCTTGCATCATCCTAAAAGTACCACCTTACATCTTTGCTGTCACCTGTTCAGTTCTTCACTGATCATCTCCTTTCTTCTCCTGCTCACCCCAAACCTCAACCTCCCATTACAGTACTGCCAGCTGACCCTGGAACACTGTGCTGTGGCCACTCTGAGTACGAACATAGAACTGCTACCATGACCCAGGCACTGCTCTGACGCTTTGTAGAGTAACTCATTCCTCATGACACCCAATGATCATTTTACAGCTGAGGAAACTGTGGCACAGAGGGGCTAAGTGAACATAGCCAGTAAGTGGTAGAGCTGAGACTTGAACCCAGGCCCTCTGCCTTTGGACTTAACCACTGCCCCACACTGCTTCTTGTGCTGCCTACTCTCCGTTCGTGCCTGCTGTTTTCCCCCCATGCCCACCTTGAACCTGTCCTTCACCTACTCCATGATGCCGTCATGGGCCTACCCCTTAGCTGTCTTATGCCACATTGGTTATTTAACTTTTCTGAGCCTTTGTTTCCTTACCTGCCTCATAGGATGAGTGCGGATTAAAAAACAGTGGCACTGAAAGTACTGAGCCATACCATCCTGTGACCACCCAGCCCCATGTGACCCTGCTGTTTCTGTTCCCTACACTCATGTTCTGTGCCAGTGCCCACCTCTCTGGCAGTGGCTGGAGGTCCAGCATCTGTAGTCAGTGTGCCCGCTGAAGGTGGTCTTGGCACAGGATTCGCCAGCAGCACCCAGCACACCAGGGCATACGTCAGCACACTCCTCGCCCAGCTTGTTGCCCACAATGTGGTTGGCACCAGGTGCTGGCTGCAGCAGTCCCCAGTCAATGGTGGAGAGGTGGCAGAGTTCCTGGTTCTTCTCCACACGCACAGCCCCACGCAGCACGGCCCCAAGCGCAGGTAGTCCCACGTCACGCAGATGCGGCATCTCAAAGATGACCAGTGCGTAGCCCAGGAAGAGGCGCGTCCCGCGGATGACTGCTAGGTTGGGGAAGAGGTCGCGCAGGCTCTCCAGTCCGTAGACACGGAAGAGCAGCAGGTAGTCGGTGACCTGGGTGAGGCGAGGGAAGCTGAGGCCACGGAAGTCCTCCCCGGTGGCTGTGAACATGAGCAGGATCTGCAGGTGGCCCTCCACCACGCTGCAGTTCTCCAGTCGACGAAGCTCTGCCACCTCAGAGCGAATGTCCAGGCTGGGACACACTGTGGGCATACATGGCATGCAGCATTGAGTACAGCCCAGGCCAAACTCCCCATCCAGTCCTGGCAGCTTTGGAGGGGAGCCACACTGGCAGTAGGACAATGAGTGAGAAGCCAGGCTCTGCTCCGGGTGTGGGGTGGCCTCCTCCCTGGGCCCCGGAGGGCTCACCTGCAGCCTTCAGGGTCTCTACCAGATGAGCCACACAGGCAAAAATGAACTCCTGACCCTCTCTTCCAAGCCCATTTCCCCTTCTTAGTTAATAGCAACTTCATTCTTGCAGTCAGGCTCCCAACCTAAAGTCACTTTTAACACCTTTCTTTTTCACCTTCTACGTCCTGTAGGTTTATCTTTAAAATATGTCCAGAATCTGAACTGCTTGTCGACACCTTCACAGCTTCCACCATCATCTTCCCCTGGATTGACAGTAATAGCCTCTCAAACTGTCTCCCCAATTCCACCCTTGTCCCTCTTTGGGACATTCTCCACTCTGCAGCCGGAGTGATCTCAAAACACAGATTGATCACGTTTCTCCTCTGCATATAACCCCTCATGACTTCCATCTGTCTTGATCTTACCACAGCCTACAGGGCCCTGCATGATTTGAGCCCCTGTAGCCTCTCTGATTTCATCCTTTTTATCTTCTTCAGCCACATTGACTTCTTTGCTATTCCTTATATATAACAGGAGTTTTACTACTGTGACAAGCCAGCAAAGCTCCTGCCTTGGGGTGTTTGTCCTTCTCTTCCTTCTGGCCAGAACCCTCTTCCCTCTACATGGCTTGCTCACCTCCATAAGTCTGGCCAAATGTCCCCTTCTCAAAGAGGCCTTCTCTGACCATCCAATTTTATTTATTTATTTATTTGATATGGAGTCTTACTCTGTCACCCAGGCTAGCGTGCAGTAGCACAATCTCAGCTCACTGCAGCCTCCATCTCCCGGGTTCAAGCGATTCTCCTGCCTCAGCCTCCCGAGTAGCTGGGATTACAGGTGCCCGCCACCACACCCAGCTAATTTTTTGCATTTTTAGTAGAGATGAGGTTTTACCATGTTGGCCAGGCTGGTCTCCAACTCGTAACCTCAATCCATCCACCCACCTTGGCCTCCCAAAGTGCTGGGATTATAGGCGTGGGCCACCACGCCCGGCCTGAATATCCTATTTAAAATTGACTTCTATTTTCACTGGTTGGGTGCAGTGGCTCACATCTGTAATTCCAGCACTTTGGGAGGCCAAAGTGGGAAGAATACTTGAGCCTAGGAGTTCAAGACCAGCCTGGGCAACATGGCGAAACCCCATCTCTGCAAAAATATACAAAAAGTAGCCAGGCATGGTGGTGCACACCTATAGTCTCAGCTACTCAGGAGGTTGAAGTGAGAGGATCTCTTGAGCCTAGGAAGTCAAGGCTGCAGTGAGCCGTGATCACGCCACTTCACTCAGCCTGGGTGACAGAGTGAGACCCTGTCTAAAGATAATTATAATAAAATAAATAAAATAAAATTGTGACACTCTTTACTCCCCCTTCTGCTTTATTTTTCTCTATAATTCTTAAAACTAACTAGTGTGTGTGTGTGTGTATGTGTATGTGTTTGTGTGTATGTGTTTGTGTGTGTATAATATTTTGAGACAGGATCTCACTCTGTTGCCCAGGCTAGAGTGTAGTGGCAGGATCATAGTTCGCTCCATCCTTGAACTCCTGGCCTCTTCAAGTAATCCCTCTGCCTCAGCCTTCCAAAGTGATGGGATTACAGGTATCAGCTATCATGCCTGGCCATATACTTATTTTTAACACTGGCTAAAATATAATTTATATATTAATATAGATATTTATTTATAGGAACAGATATATTTTGTTTATTGTAAGCTCCATAAGGGCAGGGATATTTGTATAATTCATGTTGTACCCTAGTAGCTGGTAGAGCTCCTGGCACAAAATTGGCCCTCAGTAAATATCTGATGAATGAATGAATGAGTGAATTCTGTGACTGGGAAGAAGTGATCTGAGCTTCATAGGTCCCATGTTTCTCCCAGCCTTAAGGGAGCTGGATGCCTGTTCCCTGAATTAATTTGATTACTCTTGAAGGGACTTTCCATTGCTAAAGATTCAAGTTTCATTTCCTCAGCCTGACATTGTAGGGTGTAGATAAACCGTTCCTTACTAATGCCTCCAGCCTCAGAAGGGTCCTTCAGCCTCTAGGGACAGACCTACCTTCCCTGACCCTCTGGCCTGGAGTTAATCACTTCCCCTTCAGGCTCAGCTACACTTAGTCCAGCGCCCACATCAGATTACCTGGGGGCATTGCTCCAAAATTTTTGTATACATCTCTGTCACCCCCTCCAAGGAGGGTGGGACCCTTGTCAGTCAGCTCTGCATTCCCTCAGTTGTGCCCAGTCCAGGGCTGGAACCACTGGGCACTCAGGAACCATGGACAATGGACACTCCTTCCTTGGGGACCTGGATGTGTCTGGCTTCTTCACTAGAGCCCAAGCCCCACTTCCGTTTCTCTCCCTGGACTCACTTGCTCCCAAAAGGGCCTTCCGTGGCTCCCCACTGCAGAAGATTCAAGTTTGAATGTTTCAGCCTGACATTCAGCTCCTGACAATGTCTCCAGCCTCTACTTCCCTTCCCACCGAGCCCTCCGGTGTTATCACAGACACCACTCGCCACATGCCACGCTCTCCAGGCCTCATTGCTGATAGTTTGTTAAGAGAGGTGGGCAGGCAAGGCTGGCTCCCTGGGGGTTACTTCACATATTCTCCCCGTTGTCATTAATGGTCCTGAGCTTGGCTCTGCCCAGCAGCTCTGTGTGTGTGTGTGTGTGTGTCTGAGCCCACACAGGTACACATACAAAAAAGAGGGAGAGAGAATGAGAAAACACTTCTATCCCTTCCAGGCGAAAGCCAATCAGGCTCTGCCAGGCAGATGGGGGTTCTCTCAGGCGCCCACTTCCCATCATGCCCCTGCCTCTCCAGGGCTCCCCTGATGGGAGTCATTTGGAAAAACAAATCTAAAACCTTCACAGTTTAACCCCTGCCTTCCCTCAGGACCTGGCTCTATGCAGAGCTGCACTGGGAACAGAACATCTGGGTCCCCTAAGCAAATACTAGCCCCTCCAAGGACGTGCTCCTGTCCTGACAACCACACTCCCAGCTGGCATCTGCCGTGCAGAAGGGGCGGGGGGTTTGCTGGTTGGGGGAGTGGTGCTATGCCTTACAGACAGAGGCTCTGTGACTAGCACCCTTCAGGGGACCTCCTACCTAGCCCATTGCATCACTCTCCCATCTCCATGGGAAGAGGAGACTCCCCTGCCCCTGGGAGCCCCCAGTCTGAGGAGCATCATAGGACCCCTGGGGCAAGCACAGAGTCTGGATTCCTGAGCTGCTTCAGTTTGGAAGAGAATGGTGGGACTGGGGAAGGGGATACCTCTTACTCTTTCCCTTTTTGAAACTTCTACCCTCAGCTCTTTTTCCTCTTTCTACCAAGCCCCCAGTACCTCCATGAGGGTCATTTAGTCTATAGAGTGCCCCCGCCTCTCCTGTCTAAAACGTATTCGTGGGAAGTATCTAGCCTGCAGGACAGGCCCTGGGGTGTTGAGGAAAAGCAATCTTTCCCCAAAACCAGCCTTCCTCCCTGTAGGGATTGCGCCCTGAGAGGCAGGACACAGGACAGGGCCCTGGAGGCAGGAGCTCGGGACCCAGTCTAGATTTACCCTTAGTTCTCAGAGCTGCAGTTTCCTGTAGGCAACATTGCCTCCATTACTTAATGGTGCCTGGTTCTCAGCTACCTATCCCACCCCTGCCTCTTCCCATTCAGTGGCCCTAGAGATGACTTCTAACACTCTCATGGCCTCATTTGGGTTTTCAGGCAAGCTTCACTGGGATCACAGTTTAACTAGTAGGGATGGAAGATATCTACTCATCCTCATTTTGAAGCTCTTCTCACCTCTCAGGGAGCTGAGGGAAAAACATCTTTATGTGGGGAACTAACTGCTTTTTCTGCTGGGTAGTTCTCTGGAGAGCTAACCCCAGCCTCCGTGTTCCAGTGCAGAGTAAGTGGATGTGCTGTGGCTGCAAGCTCAGTTGTTTGGCCTCCCAGCTGGCTGGGAGGGAGGTAGGGGTCTGGGAGCCAGTTCTGGGGACTCACCCTCTACTGTATCCAGGCCAAATCCCAACGAGAGGAAGATCACAGGCAGGTATGCTCCCCAGGGCCACAGACTAGGCACTGCCATTGTCCCAGCCCTGGTTTGTGTCCAGTCCCGACTCTCCTCCTGGTGACCCTGGGGAGAAGGATTTGACAAGCCCTAAGGGACACAGAGACCAGGGTTCAGATAGGAGAGGGAGGGCAGGGACAGAGAGACAAGGAATCCCACACAGAGATAGCAGGAGACAGAAAAAAAGAAATGAGAGTCACAGAGACACAAAGACAGTGACAGGCAGCTGGAGACAGAGAGACTCAGCATGAGATTGAGAGATGGGGACAGAGATGCAGACAGTGACAGGGAGAGAGAGAAAATGACACAGGGTTTTGAGCAAAAGGCAGGCCAAAAGGCCAGCCAACCCTGAGGGCAGAGCAGAAGGCTGGGAACCGCTCCCAAGGAGGGCAGCGGGGGTCCCGGGACGCGTGGGACTCCACAGGGAGAGTCTCCCTGGATCCCTCCGGGCGCGCGGCCCCCCAGCGCCAGCTGACCGCGCTGACTGCGGTCTTTCCCAGGGCAGGCACGCAGGGGCCGCGCCCAGCTCCCGCCCTCCCCGCCCCCCGCCGAAACAGATTGGTTCGCAGGGACCTCTCCGTTCTCTCCGCCCCTCCAGCCAAGCCAAAATATTTAGCCTAACAACTGAGGGGAGGACATATCTGTTGGGGAAATAAGGCCAAAATACGGGGGGAAGGGTGGGCCAAGAACTGAGCTTCCTCAAATCCCGCTGCGGGTGCAGCGGGTCCCCCCAACCCTTTGTCCCCACCACAGGCTTCTTCCAAGTGGGGCTGCACCGCCGGAGGGGCAGCCAGCACCCGGGCTTCTGGGGAGGATTGTGTCTAGATTCTGCTTCCCGGTGCTTTGACACCTGCCGGGTAACTTCTGGCAGCCTCGACCCGGGAGAACGTGGACAGCCTTTGGCCTCTCAGAGCCCCTCTCAGCCTTCCAGGAGGCCTCCCTGTCCTCTTTGGAGACCCCTTAGCGCCAGGCTCCGTCACCGCCTAGTCCCTTGGTTCTGACCAATGTCCCGATGAAGAAGGCGATCACTGTGTGGGGCTCTGCCTCCGTCTGGTCATCTTCTTGAACTCAGGCTGCTTGGTCGGTCAGTGTGTCCCTGTCTCGGGGATTTGGGGGACCATCCGTGCTGGGGCCTTGGCGGAGAGGAGAACCGCGAGCCTCTAGGAAGCCATCCTTCGCCTGCTCCCTGGGGCTTTGCCTGTCTCCCCGCCAAGAGAGACCCCTCTTCCCCTTGCTCTCCTCAGCTTGAGACGGATGGGTTCGTGCAGCCACAGAGGCTTGCGCGGTGGGAGGGGTTGGGACCAGCCTTCTGCTGCCCTGGGTGCTGGGGATCCCGGGGCTTTCCAGGTGCGCGGCCACCAAGGTGCACGGTCCTCAGCTCCACCCGCGGGCGGCTCCCGCGTCCGAGGAGCTAAGAGATCTATTAATTTCTTCACGAATAAATCGATGCTCTTGTCAGGGAGGCGATCGATGTCAGCCCTGCCCTGCCTTACCCTATCCTGCCCGGGGGCCGGCTCTGGCTGGCCGGGGTCAGGGACTGAAGCTGAGACCTGAGGCGTTGCTGATTGGGGGCTGCAGATCGCACCCCCAGCCACCCAGCCCGGGCGGAGAGCTCGCTCCTTTGCGCGCGGGCTTCTCGCGCCACCCTGTGGCTTCTCTTGGAGGCGCGGTCTTGGCTCGCTGGACTCCCTTCGGCCGGATCAAGCGACCCTTCCCTTTCTCTGCCCGGTCTGTGTCTTCCTCCCCAGGTTCTGCGATTGATCTTTGGTAGTCCTTTTCTTTTCTTCCTAGAGTTCGGAGAATGTTCTACCTAACTTACTCCAAGTGACATGCGCACTCTCCCAGGCACGCGCGCGCTGAGGATGGAGCGCTGAGTCTGGGGCTGACTAGGATGACCTGGACAGCAACCTTTCCTCAACTCAATCATCTTCCCTCCTCCCCAATTGTAAAAATGCAGCTCCTTTAAGCTGAGAGAAATAACGTATCAACTTTCCACCCCCGGCCTCAGCAGACACCTCCGAGGCGTTCTGCTGCAGCCCCTCTGCATCTCCCGGAGCTGGGGGGATCCTCGGGGAGAAGGCTGACGCTGGAGGCCCCTAACAGAAGAGGGGGCAGAGTTGGGGGCGTCAGAGGGGAGAGAAGGGGGTGGAGACGAGGGGCGGGGCGGGGCCGGGCGGGGGCGACTGGCTCCGCCCTTTCCTGGCGGCTGGGTCTTTAACACCGCCCAGCGCACATGTCGGGGGAGGCCTGGCAGCAGCGGCAGAGAGCGCACAGACGGCTGCCCCGCCGAAGCAAGGCGGGCGCCGCCGCGATGCTGCGAGGCGGACGGCGCGGGCAGCTCGGCTGGCACAACTGGGCTGCGGGGCCGGGCAGCCTGCTGGCTTGGCTGATGTTGGCATCTGCGGGCGCCTCACCCTGCCCCGATGCCTGCTGCCCCCACGGCTCCTCGGGACTGCGATGCACACGGGATGGGGCCCTGGATAGCCTCCACCACCTGCCCGGCGCAGAGAACCTGACTGAGCTGTGAGTGTCCGGCGTGCGAGGGGGCGCGGGGACAGGCAGGAATTGCCATGCCCCGAGGGCGCGGACTCTCCGCTTGTTTGCTTGGTCAGGCAGGGCGAGTACAGCGGAAGGCTGGCACGACGCAGCCTTTGGTGGTGCACGGGCGTTCCTCCGCAGCCGCCGCTGCCCTAGCAAGCTTTACGGTCACTGCCTGGATGTTCCCTAGTGTTCAGGGCAGCTGGGCCGCCGGCTTCAGGGAGATCGAGGGGAGAATCTCCGGGGACCAGGTCTGAGAGAGCCTAGCCGTCTAGAAGCCGCTTTCTGGAGCTCAGTCAGAGGCTCCTGCTCTGTCCAACAGAGAAAGGTGGTTACCAGCAGAGAAGTCCCCAGTTTGACACCCTTACTACCTTTTCCCTTTTCTAGGGGCAAGCCAGCCCCCACCCACTTCCTTGTTATGAGGAGGCAACCTCAGCTTTTCTCCTGGAATTGGGGATTGAGCTGGCTGGCATTGGTGGGAGGTGGTAAGGAGCTGGGTGGTTGAGCTCTCCTCTTTCCATTTTTACCATTCCTTTCACCAGAACCCCTTGATTTGGATCTGAGGAAATGGGACCCCCTCCTGGATTTTCTCTCCCCACTCCCATCTCCCTCTCCAACCCGGGGCAGGGAGTCAGGGCCCTTGCTGAGAGACCCTCCTCCCTTTGGTACACAAAGCTGGGAGGAATCTTCAGCATTCTGCAGGACTCTGACATTCTGCAGGAATTGGTTACAAAATACTGAAGTACTTTTTAGCAGCTGGTGAAACCTATGGGAGTATGCAGTGATGACTGGCCTGGAGGTACTCAGGCATCACATGGTGATGGCTGGAAAATACTTGAATATTACATATGGCTATCATGGCCAGCAAGACATCTAGAAGAGGGGAGGAACTGCGAGAAAATCCTCCTCCTGTGGCCTGGGGTTTACAGGGTGGACAAGGAACCCTGACCCCATGCAGTGATGGGCTGGAAGGTATCAAGGTGAGGATCATCAATGTCTGGAAGTTACTTGAGCAGCTTGCACTAATTGGCACTGAGTTACTCGGGTATCTTATGGTAATCAACGGGAAGGTACTCAATCTCTCTCTCTAATAGCTCCAGGGAGACCAGGAGTAGAGGAGATGGCCTTGTCTTGGTCTGGGCCTACGTCTCTGCATGATGGGAGGGGGCATGAGAGACAGGCTGCCAGTCCTAGTCCAGTTCTCTCATCACCCCGGGCCTTCAAACTGGGGTCCAGACTCCCGAGTGCTTGCCATCAGGGCTCGCATTTCCCAACTCCTTCCAAGTCCCAAGTGGGTCCAGCAGGGTAGGGATGGAGTGGTAGGGGAAGTGGACAGGCCAGGACTGGGGACTAGGAGGCATGCAGGGTGGCAAGCTGAGATGTCCCCCTGGGTGGGGTTGCAGCCTGACACCCCCTCCTCACTGCCTGCACAGCCCCTCCCTCCTCCCTCACCCGCAGAGCTAACGAGGAGATAATGGACTCGAATAGACAGATTGATTATGAATCCAAACGAATGAGGCAGCTTTGAGCACGCTGGCCTGACAGCTCACACACACCCTGCCAGCCCACTGCATTCTCACTCCCTCCCTGGGTCCCTACAGTTTGAAACCTTCTGGGCAGGGGCTGGGGGATGGGTAGAACAGGGACCTGGCCTCCCTTGTAGTCAGTGGAGGTTACTTTCTAGGTCTCCACTAAGTCCACAGGGAAACTTAGGATCTGATCCTGGCTGTCCTGGTGGGGCCAAGGCTGGAAAGGGAGGAAAGGAGGAAGGGAGGGGTCACTTAGGCTGGTCCTGGTTCCTATAAGGTAGGGAAAGTTAGAGGGTAGAGAGGGAGAGTTCTGAGAACTGGCAGTGAGTCAGGGGCCCCTGGCATGTGTTTTGTGGGGTGGGGGGGCACACTAACATGTCACTGCAGGGCAGCTGAGTTCTCAGGAACTCCCTGGTACGTCAGATCCAGCAGTCAGGCAGGGCCCAGGGCATCAGCCGTCCCCTAGACCTGAATGCCTACTCATTCTTCTTTCGTTCTTGTCTGTCTTGCTTTCTGTAGCTATCTGTCCTTATCTATCTGTTTGCTGTCTCCCTTCCCTTATCTGTCTTCCTTCTTACTTGTCACTATCTCTCTGACAGTCTCTTCCTGTCAGTTTCTCTTTCAGTGTCTCTGTTTCACTCTCTCTTTGTTTTTCTGCCCTTCTGCCCCCACCCTCCTCATTGAACCTTTCCATCTTTCTCTCTCTCTCTCCCTCTCTCTCTCTCTCTCTCTCGCTGTCTCTCTCTCGCTGTATAAGTCAGCCAGTCTGTGCCTCTTCTCCCCTCCCCAACACTCAGACTGCATCCTCTCATTGCTCCTCTCCTCTTTCCTGGGTCCCTCCTTGGGGTCCCTGACTGAGGGACCTTGCTTGATCTAAGCCTCTTGCTTGATCTGCTGAAAAGGTGGTAGGGGAGGTTTCAGTGGAGTAGGGGTTGCTGCTTGGGTGTGGAGAGGGGCCAGAGGCTATGGGGGTGCAGAGATGTTTGTGTGTGTATATGTGTGTGTGTGTTTGTGTAGTACAGGTGAGCCCGGGCAGTGGCCCTTGGGCGGGCACGTTTGGGAACATACATTTGCATGAGCACAGGCTTTGTCTGTGCTGGGTGGGGTAGTGGCAGACTACCCTTTGTGGTAGCAAGTGTTTCGGTATAACCTCCCATTGGTGAGCGTGTGCCAGGCATGCCTGATATAAAAGCAGAACAACAATGTGAGAATGGACTTGTGTGTGTGCACGTGAGAGATGGATGTGAGCTTTGTTTCTGTGTGTCCATGTGTGAGCCTCTTCCTGAAGGCACATGTGCATGTGCATGGCGTCATCTGTGCAGATGCTTATGCCTCTGCGTGTGTGCATGTGCATACCTGGGTGTGTGCATGTGTGCAAGAGGTATGTGAGAGTGTGCATATGTGTGAGTGTCTGGG